ATGGAATCTGTGGTTTAAAGATAGATACATACAATTTTTCTAGATACTGCTGCATTGTCTTCCATAGAGATTATACTGTTTGTGCATTCCTATCAACAGTATATGAGTTTGTTTCTCCACAACCTGAATTTTGCCAATTTCCCCTTAAATATATATATTTTTATATATGTTTACACGTATGTGTGTGTGTGTGTGTGTGTGTGTGTGTTAAGAGATGGAATCTCACTATGTTACCCAGGCTGGTCTCGAACTCCTGGTGTCAAGTGATCCTCCTGCCTTGGCTTCCCAAAGTGTTAGGATTATAGGCATGAGCCAATGTGCCTGGCAATAATACCAATTTTTTTTTAACCTGCCCTTTTCATCAAGTTCTGTTTTGTACTCTTTATTTCAGCTACAGTGAATGTTAGCTAAGGCTGTTGATTGGGGTTTAAAGCTGAGAACTTCAGGCCTCAGTTGGATCTACTTCCAGCATTGCTTTTCACTTAACTTCTCTGAGTTTCATTTCCTTCCATTATAATGAGAGAATTGGGCCCTTTGACACTAAATAACACTGGATGGGTGGATCTGAAGACATTTTATCTGCTTATTCTTTTCACCCTCAAGTCTCTGTCAACCTGAATAGTTGACTGATTCCTCATGTTTTCACTCTGATGAAAACAGCACCGACTTGGGCTGCTTGAAACCTTTAAACTAAAGATGGTTCCTTTAAAAGCAAAATGCCAGGAAGTAGGAGGGCACAGCCAGGCGATCCCTAATTATGAACATCATGTCATGCCATTCTGCATTCAGCAGACTTATAACAGGAGCGGACTCTAAGACTTTGGAGTTAACATATCAAGAGAGCTAATCTCTGCCTAGCATTAGAACAGACAGGCTCTTAAGACAGAAGGACTTGACTTTTTGGATGGTAAAGTTGAAGGATTAAGCTCTGTTTACCTTTTGAATTTTTAACTTTTACCTGATGATGAAATGATAAAGGAGTTTAGAAAGTAGATTTGGGTCTGACCTCACCTGATAAGGAAAAATGTTTGATTTTGTACATGATTTATTTTAAGAGGCCAGATTTGGAAAGTAGGTATAAGCCAGTCATGGTATTCAACAGAGAAAAATGGGGACCAGTTATGAAAGCTTTAGAATAATCTTATATAGATGAAATGGAATCAATCCAAAGAACACACTGTTAAATACATAGCTGATCCTTTGCTGCTTTAATCACTGTAAGTGTCATGATTATCTTTCCCAAATTGAAGAACCGAACCACAGCCTAATGAGAGGCTGAGTTATATAGCACGTTATGTTTATTGGCTGGAAATAAACGTGTCCAGTGCTCACTCCATCCCTGGCTTTGCCAGCCTTGTCTGCTCCCCTTAGATTCCTAAGTGTTCCTTCATAAGATGTATATGGGACTCTGATGTCAAGGTTGCTGTTCTTGTTAATGTTCGCTTTCCCACAGCTTTGTTGGGTGTAGTGCTACTATGGAATCTCCTTGGAGGAGTAACTTTGGCTTCAGACCCAGTGTCCTGAAAGTTACTTGGTTTAGCACAGCATTGTTACCTGGTAGTTGAGCTGATATGGTTGACCACAGTCGGAAGCCATAGAAACACTATCTATTTTATTATAAAGTCTGGGCCAGGAAAGAAATAGAGGATATTGATAATTAGGCCTCTGCCCTGTGCAAGCTGTTTTTCTATGCATTGCAAAAATACTTGGGTGCTTATGAGGTGTATGGTACAAAGTAGGGATTTCAAAGAAGACTGGGCTTCAAAGGGGTTGGTGATCTGTTGGGAGGATGAATTAATGCATACTTGGGAAAAGTTCAACAGTGCAAGGTGTTGTGTGGTTAAAAAGTGTATCTTTTACTGTGACCACTCTGGCTGGGTATTCTGCTGCCACTTCAGACTCAGCCATGTCTCCATTTCAGTTCCCAATATCATAGTTTTCCCTGTCAGGGTCGGAACTTGTCGCGTCATTTTTCTCCTCTTCCTCAAATCCATTTGCTCTCGTTTTGTCTCTTGTGTCTGCCCTTCCTTTGCAATTCCTCCTTCAGGCACCCAGACTTCTCCCTCAGCTTACTACAGCTCTGAATTATGGCATGGGGCTCCTCATCTGGTCTCCCTGGCTCCACCACCATTTTCTGCAGAACACCACTCTGTTTCTTTTCTGGTGTAGCACTTCCTGAAATAGATCGGCTTGCCTCAGAAACTGTCAGTAGTTGTCTGTGGCCTGCAGCAGGGCTTTTTGTTTGTTTCTTTGTTTTAACCTAAGGGTCCCTGATTGTAGAGTACATGCCCTTTGACATTTGATATCAAATGTTGTAAGCACACAGCTTTTACCAGGGTCACCAGGAGTCCCAAGAGCCATAAAAGATAAGAATGGCTAACTGCAGGTCATGTCCAGCTCTCTGACTTGACTGTCAAAGGCCTTCCCTTCCCAGTCTGCCTTTCTTCTCGCTGCTTTCTGCCCCAGGCCTGTGGTGCGGGCCCTGCTGTTTTCTTGTTCTTGACCTCATTAGCTCTACTTGGTTTTTCCTGACTCTCACTATCCTACTACATTCATCAATTTAGAAAACAACTTCGTAAATACACTCTCCTGTGAAAATTCCTTCTGCTTTCTTGCCTTAGTCCACCCATTCTCTCTTAATTCTTTCTGATGCTTTCTCTTTCAGTGCCCAGCTGGCAAATCCTAGCACTTCCTTCCTTGGCCACTTTGTTTCAAAGTGATTTCTTTTCTTCCTAAACATATTAAGCTCTCCAGTTTTTGCCATTCATTTGGTACATTGCCTTGAATTGTTAAATACATGCTTAACTCCTTGTATTTAATCTCTTATAATATATATAACCTTACATGTCATAGTAAAGAAGGAATTATTTTCCAAATTTATCTGAAATATTTAAAAAGATAAAAATTGAACCTAACATCTCCTTTAAGAATTATATTCACTTACTCTTTCCTGAACAGATTTCTCAATTAATATTTTTGTTGTCTTCATTGTCAGTTTTATCTTTTTTTTTTTTTTTTTTTTGAGACAGTCTCACTCTGTTGCCCAGGCTAGAGTACAGTGTCATGATCTTGGCTCACTGCAACCTCTGCCTCCTGGGTTTAAGCGATTCTTGTGCCTCAGCCTCCCGAATATCTGGGATTATAGGAAGGTGCCACCATACCCGGCTAACTTTTGTATTTTTAGTAGAGATGGGGTTTTACCTTGTTGGCCAGGCTGGTCTCAAACTCCTGATCTCAGGTGATCTGCCCTGCCTCCCAAAGTGCTGGGATAACAGGCGCGAGCTACTGTGTCTGGCCCATTGGCAGATGTTTGTTTGTTTGAGATGGAATCTCACTCTGTCGCCCAGGCTGGAGTTCAGTGGTGCAATGAGGCCAGTGTTATAGTGAGACAAGATCACACTACTGGCTGGAGTGCAGTGGTTCGATCTTGTCTCACTGCAGCATTGGCCTCCCAGACTCAGGTGATTCTCCTGCCTCAGCCTCCCTAGTAGCTGGGATTATAGGCATGGACCACCACGCCTGGCTAATTTTTGTATTAGTAGAGATGGGGTATACCATGTTGGCCAGGCTGGTCTCAAACTCCTGACCTCAAGCGATCCACCCACCTCTGCCTCTCAAAATGCTGGATTACAGGCATGAGCCACCAAATCTGGCCCTCTGTCAGTTTTATCTGATAGTAACCTTAATGACTCCTTTATTTTGCAAAATAAGAACAATCAGCTATTTCATATCAAAGATGATAAGAATATCAGCTTCCTTAATTTACTCCAAAGTCAGCCAGACACAGTGGCTCACACCTGTAATCCTAGCACTTTGGGAGGCCAAGGTGGGCAGGTTGCTCAAGCTCAGGATTTTGAGACCGGTGTGGGTAACATGGTGAAACCCCATCTCTACAAAAAACAATACAAAAATTAGCCAGGTGTGTTGCCACACACCTGTAGGCCCAGCTGCTTGGGAGGCTGAGATGGGAGGATCTTGAGCCCTGGAGGTGGCAGTTGCAGTGAGCCGTGATGGTGCCACTGCATTTACTCCAGACTGAGTGACAGTGAGACCCTATCTCAAGAATAAATAAATAAATAAAAATTTACTCCAAAATCAAACCACGTGAATTTTTCATGTAACATATGCACAATTGCATTTTATTTATTTATTTATTTATTTATTGAGATGGAGTCTTGCTCTGTTGCCCAGGCTGGAGGGCAGTGGTGCAGTCTCTGCTCACTGCAACCTCCACCTCTCAGCTTCAAGCCATTCTCCTGCCTTTGCCTCCCAAAGTGCTGGGATTACAGGCATGAGCCACCGCGGAAGCTGGGACTACAAGCATGTGCCACCACGCCCAGCTAATTTTTTTGTATTTTTAGTAGAGATGGGGTTTCACCAGGCTGGCCAGGCTGGTCTTAACGTCCTGACCTCAAGTGATCTGCCCTTGTTGGCCTCCCAAAGTGCTGGGATTACAGACATGAGCCACCATGCCCAGCCTACATTTATTTTAAACTGGCATCATTGATCTTGAGTGAAAACTATCCCCCATTTGTATGTAGTTTTTCAAAAGTGAAGGCCTATTTTTGGTTTTTTTTTGGATTGTTTCGTTGTCAAAAAATACCTATACTATGAAGAAGTCTAATCAGTGTGCTCTTCATGGAAAATTAACAGACAAACCATACATATTCACTACTTTAGTATTCTCAGGTAAAATTTATTTTATTGGCCAGGTGTGGTGGCTCATACCTGTAATCCCAGAGCTTTGGGAAGCCAAGGCAAGAGGAAACTTGAGCCCTGGAGTTTGAGACCAGCCTAGGCAATATAGCAAGACCCCATTTCTACAAAAAATTTAAAAATTAGCTGGGCATGATGGAGTGGGCCTCTAGTCCCAGCTACTTGGGAGGCTGATGCAGGAAGATTGCTTGAATCCAGAAGGTCAAGGCTGCAGTGAGCTGTGTTTGTGGCCACTGTACTCCAGGTTGGGTGAGGGAACGAGACTGTCTGAAAAAAATATTATTAGCTTTGCGCAGTGGCAGTATTGTAGCCAATGAGGTTTATCCAAGGCATGATTATTGTTAATTGAAAGCTTTTCCCAATCTCCGCCATGATGACTTGCAATATAGTCAGCATTGGCAGTTTTTAACAAAAATATTATTTGATGATTAGAGATAGGGTCAAACTCTGTCACCTAGGCTGGAGTGCAGAATGGCATAATCATAGCTTACTGTAACCTGAAACTCCTGGGCTCTAGTGATCCTGTCACCTCAGCCTCTGGAGTAGCTGGGACTGCTGGTGTGTGTCATCATACTGTAGAGAGTCTCATTATGTTGCCCAGACTGGCCTCAGGCGATCCTCCCGCCTTGGCCTCCCAAAGTGCTGAGATTACAGGAGTGAGCCACTATGCCTGGCCTAAATTTGTAATCTGCCTGGTACTGATATTTGTACAAAGCAGCTGTTCTGCTGGCCTAAGGAAGAGAGCAGAAAATTATCGCTAGATTAAGTGAAAGATTTTATGAGGCTTTCAAACGACAAGAAACAAGTAGCTCTGGTAATTGCCACTCCTTGGCCTGATGTTGTTTTCCTAGTACATTGTAAATATAATCTGAGTAGGGCATGATAGCTCATACCTGTAATCCCAGCACTTTGGGAGGCCAGGATGAGCAGAATGCTTTAGCCCAGGAGTTAGAACCCAACCTTGGCAACATGATGAAACCCCATCTCTACAAAAAATATAAAAATTAGCCAGGTGTGTTGGCCTGCCCCTGTAGTTCCAGCTACTTGGGAGGCTGAGGTGGGAGGATCATTTGGGCTTGGGAGTGAGGCTGCAGTGAGCCGAGATCACACCACTGCACTCCAGCCTGGGTGACAGCAAGACCCTGTGTCAAAAAAATAAATAAATAAAAGATGGCATTGAGTTTAAGCTATAGAAAAAGAAAAGTGTCATTTGTCACCTACTCTTGAGATAGCCAGAATGGGGAGCAAGCTAGAAGACAGCCTTGAGTACAAGACCAGTGCAAGGAGCCTGCTCCCTAGGAGCCTGGCCCCAGAGCAGAGCTTGCCATGCCTTTGGGAACCTTGCTTCCATGCTGTCAGAGGGAAGGGAAAAATACAGACTCTTGAAACCGTAATGAATTCATTAGATTCCAGCACCATCAATTTCAGTCAGCTTCACTCTTCCTGCATCCTGTGACATAGACTGTTACTTGTGTTCCTCAGTTCAGCAGTGTCCTTGATTACTGGACCTTTTGCCACAGCCCTACAAAACCTGGCCAAACGTGCATCAGACTGATGATCCTGTGTTTCGTTTATTGTTCAGCATCTACACATTTTTAAATATTGGCCTGGTTAACTTTCTTGATGTTAACTTTTTGCCTTCCTGAGGATTGAATGTATGAGGATCAGTTACCAGAATGGTTTTGTTTTGCAGGTCTCAAGAAGAAAATGCCATCTAGATGCAAAATCACCTCCAAACCAGACCACTTTTCTTGACTTGCCTACTTTGGGCATCAGCTGCCTTAAACATTAACACCACATTTGAATGCCTTATTCTACAATCCAGTGTGTTTTCCTTCACCTTTTTTACACTTTGGTGAATTATGTGCCTACTTAACTTGAACTGTGTCGACTCCACAAAATGATTATGCACTTTTCTGAGACAAAAGATGCTGTTCTTCTGAGAGATCCGTTACTCTCTCCTTGGAATCTGTGGATTTGAAGATGGCTCCTGCCTGCTCATATGGGAATCAGTGAAGTGTTTAGAAACTGCTGCAAGACAAACAAGCCTCCAGTGGGGTGGTCAGTAGGAGAAGCACGTTCAGAGGGAAGAGCCATCTCGACAGAATCACATCAGACTCTGTTTTCAGGATGGATTTCTTATTTCTGCCATCTTTTGGAATAAATATTTTTTCCCTTTCTATGGAAATCTGAGTTCAGTGTTTGTAAAGTTCATTTTTATAAACTTTTCTATTGCTACATAATGCCTTTTAAAAAATAATTTTGTAGTCTAAACGTAGGTTGGATATATAAACCCTACCATGTAGTTTGAGATGCCTGAAAAGACTGGTAAGTGCTTTTTTTAAGCATTCAGTAACCATTTAAGTGCCTACTGTAGCCAAGGCACTGGAGAGATGAAAGATGTGTACGTTGGAGTCCCTGCAAGTTCACAAGCTATTTGGAGAGATATGATTAGTTTACATAGAGCTGTATATAAGGCTGTGTTTGAACTTTGTCCTTGAAAGTGGTAACATGGTGAGCAGGTCAAGGATATCTGCTAACCATAGAACAAGGCAGCAAATGTTGCTGAGATGGAACCATCACAGCCTCAGACACAGGACTGAAGAAGTCAAGAGTGATTAAAAAGCCAGGGGCAGGAGACAATAATTTTGTGTTTCAGTAGCAGGAATTTTGATACACTAATTTGAGGGCTTTATTACTCTTAAGAAATTAAAAATTAAAATGAACCTAAATGTTCACCAGCGCATGGCTTTTGACAGCCAGCCAAGAATGGATTTCCTGTTTTTCAGTTTGTACTTTTCTATTCCTCTCAAACTGTCTGAACTCATTACTTCGCTATTCTTATTACCAAAGTGGGTTTCAAGTTGAAGTGACTCTCCTGCTCTCATTTCTTTTCTTTTCATTCTTTACTTTTGTTTTGAGCAGTCTGTTAGGCAACTCCATACTTCATCTTTCCAGCAGGCGGGCCACATTAGCTAATTTCATGGAATCCATGAAACACTGATGATTTGAAGTTGAAGGGGCCATGGTGATATAGGCTAATCCCATCATTTTATACATAGGGAAGCCGAACCCAGATGGAGAATTTCTCACCCAGCTTAATGCAGTTGGTCAGAGGCAGACCGGAGTAGGATCTATGTGTTTGGTTTTGGTTTTGGTTTTGAGACAGATTCTCACTCTGTCACCCAGGCTGGAGTGCAGTGGCACAATATCGGCTCACTGCAAACTCTGCATCTCGGGTTCAAGCAATTCTCCTGCCTCAGCTGGGACTATAGGCACATGCCACCATACCTAGCTAATTTTTGTATTTTTAGTAGAGATGGGGTTTCATCATGTTGGCCAGACTGGTCTTAACTCCTGACCTTGTGATCCACCTGCCTCGGCCTCCCAAACTGCTGAGATTAGAGGCGTGAGCCACCATGCCTGGCCAGGATCCATGTTTTCTAATTTTCACACTAGAGCTCCTTTCACAGGCTACCCTGCCTCCCTCAGAGTTGTCTTGGCCAGAAGCCAACTCTGGGTCTGGTGGGAGGGAAGAATTCTGCCATTGCAGATTATCAAGCTGTCTCCTACCAGAACAACATACCTGGCCCTTAGTCAGTATCGGTCATCTGAGAAAGTAATGCTGGTGGTTACTGCGGGTACACAAAAAGATGCCACAGTCTGAGCTCTGATGGTGTGAGGAAGTGTGACTCCGGTGCTACTGTGTTCCCAGATTCTACAAGTCAAGCCCTGCAGCCCATCATCACTGGGGATCAGTCTGACACCTTCCCCACTCCCACCCTAGACTGCTTTCCAGCAGATTACAAGTTTTTTTTTTTGTTTTTTGTTTTTGTTTTTGTTTTTTTGAGACAGAGTTTCACTCTTGTTACCCAGGCTGGAGTGCAATGGCGCGATCTCGGCTCACTGCAACCTCCGCCTCCTGGGTTCAAGCAATTCTGCCTCAGCCTCCCGAGTAGCTGGGACTACAGGGGCACTCCACCATGCCCAGCTAATTTTTGTATTTTTAGTAGAGACAGGGTTTCACCATGTTGACCAGGATGGTCTCTCTTGACCTCATGATCCACCCGCCTCAGCCTCCCAAAGTGCTGGGATTATAGGCATGAGCCACTGCGCCCTGCAGATTACAAGGTTTTTGAAACTGTTTTCCAAGCTGAGCCTCATGGTGACCTTAATGTGGCAGCACTTCCCTTGAGTGTGGCTTTTGTCTGTCTTGAGTTCAGTTTATGCATTAGCCGACAGGGAGCCTGCATAAGTTCGGCACAGCAGATCTTAGCTGTGGCATGCCTTCCACTAGTGATGGAGGGTAGCTTTGGGGGTTCTCATTGGTCATCATAGTTTGACATGTTTCCAATTAAATGGCGCAGTTGAAGGCAGAAGTCATTACCCTGACTGATTCAAGATTATGAGTTCTGCTTTATTCTGTCAGTTGGTAGTAGTCCATTTTTTTAGAAGCCCCATCTTTTTTCTTTTTTTTTGAGAGTTTTGCTATTTTGCCCAGGCTGGAGGGCAGCGGCATAATCTCAGCTCACTGCAACCTCTGCCTCTCGGGTTCAAGCAATTCTGCCTCAGCCTCCCAAGTAGCTGGGAATACAGTTGCCTGACACCACGTCCAACTAATTTTTTGTATTTTTAGTAGAGATAGGGTTTCACCATGTTGGCCAGGCTGGTCTTGAACTCCTCACCTCAGGTGATCCACCCAGTTCAGCCTCCCAAAGTGCTGGAATTACAGGTGTGAGCCACCGCACCTGGCCAGAAGCTCCACCTTTATTTTCAATCAAAAATTAACAGACCGAATTACTTTTATTACTATGCACATCAAGTTACTGAAATGATGATTTCATGTAGTAAACCCCTAAAGATGGCACTTGCAGGTACAAAGATACAGAAATGTCTACAGCCTGCAGATGTTTACTTTAAAAGATTCTTCAACAGCAGTTTGTTACTGGGTTTCCTCATCTAGTTGAAGATTCTCTAATTCTCCATAATCAAACTGATGTCTATGATTTTGATGACTAACAAAATTTCTAGTGAAGTGATCCACTTGTATGCTTCTGATGTGTCCTAAGTGAGTTAAAGGAGACACTGGGGAGTGAGCTGGATTATGTTACTGGTTTGCTTGTAGGCTTGCTTGCTATTTGGAGGGAGTGGGTTCCTACAGACGTGAGTAAGGAAGATCAGGGTGTTGACTGCACTAACAACTGTGGGAAACATGGGAGATGGGAGCACAGAAGGGCCTGGTGCTATGCCAGTGAGGTTTTGCTCATCCTCCAGTAGTCCTCTAGGGAAGTAAAAGGCCCTCATGAGGCAGCAGCTCAGGCCTGAACTTACAGGGTTTTCTCCAAACCCTACTGTGACGTAACTCTTTTTTTTTTTTTTTTTTTTTTTTGAGACGGAGTTTCACTCTTGTTACCCAGGCTGGAGTGCAATGGTGCGATCTCGGCTCACTGTAGCCTCCGCCTCCTGGGTTCAGGCAATTCTCCTGCCTCAGCCTCCTGAGTAGCTGGGATTACAGGCACGCGCCACCATGCCCAGCTGATTTTTTTGTATTTTTAGTAGAGACGGGGCTTCACCATGTTGACCAGGATGGTCTCGATCTCTTGACCTCGTGATCCACCCGCCTCGGCCTCCCACAGTGCTGGGATTACAGGCACGAGCCACTGCGCCCGGCCCGACGTAACTCTTAATGAGACCCTGCTGGCCTCAGCATAAAGCAGGAGATCACCTTTGCCTATGAAGAAGAACGGAGCTCATTTCCTAGCCAAACTGTTTGTCAGAGATCTCCCAGAAAAATTGCTTGCAAGCTCCCAAAGGCCAGGTACTGTAACAATGCCACCACCTAACATATAATACTATGGTTGAACCGAGGGAGGGAATGATGAAATCCGCTCAGGGGTTGTGAGAGGAAACTCACTCAGTTCCCTTTGCCCAGGAAGTCACTACCCTTGAATTCTAGTTGTCTCATTTATTAAATTCTTGAGAAGATTCAATGCTATTAATACATAAATCCAGGTATGTGTTCTCTCCTCAGCTCACCCTTAATGATGGAACTATTTTGTTACATGATCAGACATCTGAGATGGATGTTTGTGAATCATACTTTCTTAACCATTCCCTTACTCCATTAAGTGTATATCAGGGCCCAGACTGAAAGGAGGTCCATTTAGCCCTTTCAGAGGTTACCAAAAATGTTCCTGTGTAATATTCCATGTGATGTGGCCTCCTGGGACAATCACTAGAAGTCCTAGGTTTGCAGTCTTATTCCATCACTTCCTAGCTGTGTAACGGGGCAAATAATTTCATTTCTGACTCTTGGTGTTTTCATCTGTGAAATAAGGATCACGCGTACATTTTCTACTACATGAGGTTGTTACAAAATGAGATTTTGGCGGTGAAGATGATTTGCGAATTATCATAATACATCAGGAGTATTTTCCAAATAAATGACCAAATCCCCAGGGCACACTGACCATACTTTTCTATTAAGATAGGACCCAGAGGGACAGCCAAGTCATTTTTTTTCTACATATGGTTACGCTTTGGGTTTGTTTTGTTTTGCTTGAGACGAAGCTTCGCTCTTGTTGCCCAGGCTACTGAGTGCAATGGCATGATCTCGGCTCACTGCAACCTCTGCCTCCTGGGTTCAAGTGATTCTCCTGCCTCAGCCTCCCAAGTAGCTGGGATTACAGTTGCTTGCCACCACACCCAACTAACTTTTTGTATTTTTAGTAAAGATGGGATTTCACCATGTTGGCCTGGCTGATCTCGAACTCCTGTTCTCTGGTAATCCACCCACCTCGGCCTCCCAAAGTGCTGGGATTACAGACATGAGCCACTGTGCCAGGCCTATGGTTACACTTTTGATTAGTCATTTGTACTTGGAGGTGGGGGTTTACAGAAAAATAAAAGGCACCCTTATCAGGCTCCCAGGCCTGAGTTCAGAGCCTAAGTGGCTGGGCCACACCCTTCCTACCCTTCCATGTTCTACCAGCTCTTATAGCAGGAGGGAAGCATTTCTGGCATGATTCTGAAGATGAAGTGTGAGGATTGATTGGTTTCTTTTAGCACTGTTTTTGCTGTTTTCTTTAAGCACATAATGATGTCTAGACGTATGTCACTGCCCAGATTTATATTTTATCTTTTCTTTGATGTTGCTTCAAAAGTAGCACCTTTTTGTTTAGCTTTTTTTTTAAATTTTTTAAGCAATGGTAGGTGTTTGGTCATGCTGAAGTAAATTTAGAATTTGAGAAATGATTTAAAATTGTTGCCAAGACTCATGAAAAATTTGGCAAGAGTCAGTTGCTCCTTTATTAACATAAATTGTATTTAAAAATGTGTCTGCACATTTTAGAACAGTTTCATACTCCATCCTCTACACAGAAGTTCTTTTCTGTTTGGGAGAACATATGTGTTGAAAATGGAGATGGAGGCCAGGCGTGGTGGCTCACACCTATAATCCTAGCACTTGGGGAGACTGAGGCAGTCTCCCATCACTGAGGGTGGGAGTTCAAGACCAGCCTGGCCAACATGGTGAAACTCCGTCTCTATTAAAAATACAAAAACTAGCTGACTGTGGTTGCAAGTGCCTACAATCCCAGCTACTCGGGAGACTGA